CTTACCTTACTTTTTCTTTTTCGGTTGTCATAGATGACATGTATCACAACTGGGGCCAAATTGAAACACTGGAAGGCGCACAACTCAGTCAGAGCACGCCCCACAAGCCCCTTGAGAATGGTTCTAGACCGATCAGAATGGAAGATTTCGATATTTTATAACTAACTCACTAAGAATTCTCATTGACAAGAGAGAGAAGGAAGGGGAAGAGGGAAACCACAGATCAGGATCGGGTAGAGAAACTGGAGCCGACTCCCATTTGATAAACGGTCCCATGCTGGTGTTTTTTTTTTCTATCGTGTTGCAAACCAGCTTGCGGAAAAAGAATTTGTGATCTCTTCGACCTCTCCTGCGACACGGCTTCTGTTTTTTTTTCGTTTTTTTTTCCGTACACAGTTCAAAACCGGTGACCATTTTGCAATCATGAACCCCTCCTCTACCTCTCTCGAATCTCCTCATGTCGTGGCAGAGCAATAGGTATCATGGCTACCTAACTACCAAAATAGTCAAGGGTTTTAGCTGGAGCCATCTTCTCAGCTTGTGATTCCTACCATCACCCTTATGCAGTGACCTCCTTTTTTTTTTTTTTTTTTTTTTTTTACCTCCTAACATGTTCGTCCCATCTTAGGGGCTGATCCGATCCCATCTTAGGGGCTGATCCGATTACTACTGTCGAAGGGGAGAACCAAAAAGAACCGTGTTGCTCGGCCCCGGGCCGGTTGGACCGAAAAGTGAAATTGCATCCCACTTGCCCAGTTGGGGCGGGACTTTTTTCGAAGTTCGTGCCAGGTATTCGTGGGCGGGGCATGCAGGGCCATTCCTGACGGACGGAAGGCGGACAACTTTATGGACTGTGGGCGGCGGTCTAGTCTGTCGCGAGTTCGTTTGTGTGGCAGTATCGAAGTCCCCATTGTCGCCCTTCACCGGTACCGTCGCAAATCCACTTTCGGCCGCCGTGGTCGGCATTCCCGGACCCCTGCCAATCTGCAAAACAACATCTACGTTGATCTAACGGATTCTAACCTTGCTACCCATCCTACCTCAACAGCACTTACTCCCCATGGGCCATGGCCTCCACCAGTACCCATCCACTAAGCTAAGCATCATGATGCATCGAGGTTGCTTTTCAGATCTCATGAAACCATGGCCTCCACCTGTACCCATCCACTAGCATCATGCTGCCCTCGGAGTCCTGGCTCCCCCTGAAGCCACCTAGCGGGTGAATACCTATCAGGCCGGGCCCCATCTTTCTTGCGCAAGGAAAGAAAAAAGCACCCCGTCAACCACAACTCAACATCGATGCCCGCGCAGCTGCCCCTCCTCAGCTCAGCACCCCTTCAACAACTCCCCCTCCCCAAGACTTCTATTTTTCAACGATCAGCGAGCCTGGGACTGTGACAAGATGGCGGGATAGATCACCAAGTTGAATGGCAAAATTACTAATGCAACAAACCTACCTGAGAATCAACTATACCAAAAGACTAAACAAACACTTCAACAAATATTATCCCTTTTTCCACTTCCTCACTAAACACACCACACACACACACACCCACACACACACACACACACACACAAAAGATAAAATAAAAGAATCACAAAGTTCCGCCAAACGAAATGCAATCAACCAGATAACAAATTACAAAAAAAGAAATACAGAAAGAAAGAAAGAAAGAAAGAAAGAAAGAAAGAAAGAAAGAAAGAAAGAAAGGAAGAAAGAAAGGAAGGAAGGAAGGAAGGAAGGAAGGAAGGAAAGATACGAAATCGCAAAAGAGAGAACTGAAACGGCCACAGTCCCAAGAAACAATGTACTGTGATGATGCATCAATGGGACGCTGGACCCGGTTTCCAGCAGGTGTCGCTTCACACCAATATAGACGGAGCAGCCCGACAGGCAAAGCCTCAATTCTAGGCCTTGCAGAAGGGCTTTTCATACAAATAAAAATGAAAAAAAAAACGAAAAAAAAAAAAATCAAATAAAATAAAATAAAACAAAGAAGGAAAGAAACCCAATCAATCAACTGAGTCAAACTGACAAACTTCAGACAGAAAAAAACAAAGGAAAAGAAAGAAATGAAGAAATTCAAAACGCCTCTCCTTTTTTTTTTTTTTTTGGAAGAAGGTCAGTCTTTATTAATCATCAAAGCCGGGAAGCGGGCCCGGTGTCCCTTACAAAAGTCGCCACAGCTCTGAGCTGAGTGAAGCTCTCTAGCCAGGCAAGACGCATCTCTTGACTTGCTGGTGGAATAGGAACCGGACTGCTGGTCCCCACAATGGATCAGGATCCAGGACCACAGGGTACCGTTTTTTATTATTAAAAAAGAAAAAAAGAAAGAAAAAGAGAATGAAATCAAACAGCTGGGAAATTACAACCAAAAACTATTCCTCAACCTACCTACCAAACACGGGCAAGTTTCAAAAACAGCGTGTCCCGGCAGTTTCACAGCAAAAATATTGGCGGGGCCCAAAGTTTGGTTGCAAAAAGATATCTTCCGTTCAAGCTTTAGAGGCACCAGTCGTCTCACCGCAAAAATAGTTGCAGGCGGGGGACCCACTTTCCTTGGAAAAATATATCTTTCGGACCCGCACAACATATTCATATCTGCTGCGAAACTCCGAGACCGCGCTATTTCTGCAATTACCCCACCAAACTATTGTACAATAGAACCAAAGCAGTTCATAAAGCACAGAAAGCGGAAATGAAAGATACACACGAAGAGACACTCACACATCCAGTCGCTTACCAATGTATGTACACCGTCCTTGGTCAAATTTCTGAAGAGAAGTCCACGACAGCCAACCCATTGCCACCACTCCCCATCATCTACAACCACAAGCCGAAACCCCTGGCCTTTATTCGACCAGCAGCTTCTTCCGCGACCCATGAGCCATCGAGCACGACAACTGCCTGAATACCTCCACGACGTGTCCTTGTTCTTCCTTTCTCACGAGGTCAGGATCGCCATAGCGAGACTAATTCAGCATTTCTCCCAAAAAAAAAAAAAAAAAAAAAAAAAGTCTTGCCTGCTTTCTTACGAGTCGCATATCGCAATATCGCACAGATTCGCACTCAGTCTGCTGAACCGCCTCCCTTCGACTCTCCCCTCACCCTTCGTCTTCCTCCCCTCGATAGTCAGCTTCGCCGCGATCGCGATCTGCCTCCACGCGGAGTCCACGGCCTACTTGTAAAATGGAGTCACCATGGTAACTTCGGTAAAAGGTGAATCTGACAAAAGGATTCTCTTCTTTCCCCTGTCGGGCACCCTCTTATTTACCCTGCCACCACCGCCGCTGCTGCTGCCGCTGCCCATGCAGAAGGGATCCACATGAACGACCTAAATGTCGAGTCTCAGCAGTAGCACCTGACAGAGCAACCACCATGCCTCCCTCTCTGTTACCGCGTCTTCAGAGAGGGAGGCATGGTGGTTGCTCTGTTGCAGCGCCTCCATACCGATTCTTCGTACCTGAGCAGTGAGCGCACGATTGTCCCACAAAAAATATGCAAGCGCTGCAACGCACGCCGCTTCACAGTTCCTCACTACTGTTCCACAGAAAAAAAACCATCCGTATGAGGCCCTGCTAGATTCTAGCAATGCGTGCGAGGGGTCATAGTACCGTAACACACTTAAAAAGACTTTTGTGAATGTGTAGTGCCACCTCCTCATCGACTACATAGGCCTCTCCAAACCACTGCTGTGCAACAGCCAGCTCCCAGGAAACCCCTCAACAGTCCTATGCGGCTGAGCCTGAGAAAAATAGAATAAAATATAAAGAAATGTATCCGTTGTGACAGCACTTCCAGCACGAAGGAGAATGGCATAACGTTTGGGAATGTAGCCATTGTGACAGCACTTCCAGCGCGAAGGAGAATGGCATAACGTTTGGGAATCTCTCTCTCTCTCTCTCTCTCTCTCTCTCTCTCTCTCTCTCTCTCTCTCTTCTTGTGTGTGTGTGTGTGTGTGTGTGTCTGCGCGACAGCCCTTCTAACCTGAAGGAGAATGACATAAAGTTGGGACTCTCTCTCTCTCTCTCTCTCTCTCTCTCTCTCTCTCTCTCTCTCTCTCCGTGCGTCACCCACTTTTCACATCCAAGCTGGTGGTGAGTCAGTTCTTGGAAGTCGGAACCAGAAAACCGACCCTGCACACCCAAGCGGGCAAACCTGGAATTACGGCATGTGTACGTGTATATACATCTGTGTGTGCACATGTTCCTGTCATGACGGCATGTACGTGTATTTGCAGTGTGTCCAGGTGCATCTACAGCCTGTATGCTCCAGCATACTCTCAGCAACTCCATAACGCCCTCAGGCTGCCCGAATGCCTATAATCCCTAAGAGGTAAGACCTTGAGACTTCCAAAGTGATTTCCATTCCCCCTGCCATGACTGCAAGGAAGTGTGTGTGCAGTGTCTGCATGTGCCCCCTGTACAAGAGTCTACAGTCTGCTTGCTCCAGCATAGACTCCGAAGCGAATCCATAACACACACACTGTCCGGATGTCTGCGATGGAGTGCGCGTAAAGTCTGTGTGTTATGGAACTCAGTATAAAATTTAATGCTTCCAGCTCTTACCTCTTAGCGACTATGGACGTTCGGCCCGGCAGGTGTTACGCTTTTGCTGAGAGGCTGAGACTATGCTAAGCAAAATGTAGATGCAGATTTGCACACCGTACACAGACTTACGCGCACTGTGTCGCAGTCATCCCATTGGCAGGAGGAATAGAACTGACTATAATAACGGATACTTCCTAAGAGATAGCACTAAGACCTTTAAGCATTTATAGTGAGTTCCATTTCTCCTCAGAATCTCCTGGGATGACGGAGACGCAGTGCGAGTAAGTTTGTGTGCACTGCAGTGTGCGCATCTGCATCTACATTTTGCTCAGCATAGTCTTAGCAAACCCATAACATTCTAAAACCCAAACATCTATACTCGCTTAACACGCTGCTCGAGCGTCTATAGTCGCTTGCTTACTTAAAAAGCGACTATAGACGTTTGGGTTTAGAATGTTATGGGTTTGTTGAGACTATATGCCGAGCAAAATGTAGATGCAGATGCGCGCACTGCACACACAAATTTACTCGCACTGTCTCGCAGTCAACCCTGGAGAAATGGAACTCACTATAGCTGCTTCAAGGCCTTGGTGCCTCTAAGGAAGTATCCATTATAATAGTCCATTATAGACCATTATAGTCGATTATAGTCAGTTCTATTCCTCCTGCCAGTGGGGTGACTGAGACACAGTGCGAGTAAGTTTGTGCGCGGTGTGCTAAATTAAATCAGCTCAAAAAGGCACAATGTCATAGAGATGATGTGGTGGACATCTAGTTCCAAGTCCCGAAACTTCACGGTGACCTCAGTTTGGATGCACAAAGCGTGGGCCGAGGGAACTTTGAATCCATTCTATCTCTGCAGAACCGGGCTTGGTCATCAGCACGGCTGGATGCAGTGGAGTACCAGAGGGAAGGTCTCGAAAGAGCTCGGGATACTCCCCTTTATGGCTATGGTAGAGCTCCAGCTTCGCAGCAAACGTCAGTGATCGCTTGTCCATGTCCAGTATAACAAACACAGCTGCACCACCATGACACGTTCCAAACGTCTCGATCCCAGACACTGAAAGAAATTTCTGCATCAATGGCCTCAGAGTCCTGGTTCGTTCAGATGAGCGCACGACAAAATTGTGAGAATAATATGTTTTTTCTCCCGGGCAACAGAAAAATCTCATCGGAAGGGCTGTCGAAGTGACGACACCAACACCCAAGCCCTCACAGAACTCCGGCGATCGGACCATCCATATGTGCTTTCCGCTAAGAAGCGGCACTTTCATCGTCGCAATTTTCCAATCCCCTTGGCAGGTGCATTGCACATGCTGGGGTAGGCCCTTAACAACCTTGAAATGACTGGAATCCGATTCGGACCAGGTCCAGACCGTTGGAATTGCGACCTCGATGTAATTTCTATGGACGCCCTCCCCACCTGGCTTAACAGGCGCAAACGACACCCTCGGACTTAGAGAGTGCCAGGGTATCGCAAGAACAGATTTCGTTGACAAGCCTCTTGAGAAGAAGATGGCCTGCACTCCGTAGACGGCGGCGAGTACCTCTGGCCGTAAGATTTTCAGAGGTTCGATCTTCTCCTTCACAAAGGAAGGATCGACGAACGCAAGGTTAACATGACACTGCAATATTTCCGCCAAGTCGTCCCTCGACAAGGACGAGCATCCTGCCTCTGGAACAGCGAGGGACAGCCCCGGTGAGCGTCCTGCCTCCTCAGTGGCATATCCCATTGGCAAGTCACGTTGCGCGTCGGACGCAATCATGGTGCCCCTCGACGTGTCCACAGCGGGATCAGCCACAAGCATATCATCACTAGTGTTTAACGTAGCAATGCGGCCATTCTCTTGCTCAATAACAACATGATTATGATAGCCACTGTGGTGGTTGCTGCCAGGGGTCGCTGCGGAGAGAACCAGCTCTGCGACCATCGTCTCAGTTACATTCGGAAAGAACGTCACAATTTCCAAGCAGCAGATGATGCTTTCCTTGCTCCATCCCCGGAATGAACTAGAGTCAAAGGGCCCCCAAAAAACTCGGTTCATGACCTTCACGGCAGCCTTCTGCACTTCCTCTGCTCCTCTCGGGATCGCCGCGTTTAACACCTCGCCGAGTTCGCTTGCATTACCGACTCTTCGCACCAATCGTGAGATTCTCTGAGACAAGTGATCGACCTGATACTGAGCTGCCAAGCAGTGTGCTTCAACCAGGTCATCCCAGCAGCAGGCGGAGCTGTCAGTGTTCCACCTAGTAAACGGATGACCGTGTACGTAGCTGATCACAATCTGCAGACCGCCTGCCTTTGCCGTAGGAAAAGGAATCCTGTCCATTGATCTCTCCTTCATATCCCCGTACAGCAACTTCGAGAAGTACTCGCTCGCACTCGCCAATAACGTTCGACTTGCGCGCACCTCTTGCCCATCTTCGCAGACAAACGTAACGTCAAGCAATTCCGCACGATCGAGGATGGTCCTCACCGCGGACAAAATCTCTCGCTCATGCTCTGCATTTTCCTGCTCCTCCTCCTCCTCCTTCTGCACAGGACAGGGGATGACTCCTTTCCCATCCTCCTTTTTTGCCTTTCCACGACTAGTTCCTCCGCCTCGATGCAACATAATGAATTTAATCTTTCGCTTCCGATATTGTCCACACTGAGGTATGATGTCAATGACACTGCTTACGAGCTACTATAATTATGTGCAGCAACTGTCGTCAAGTGATTGGATCGATGCTGTCGTTGATTCTGGCATTCTGCCAAGGAAGGAACAAGATGATATGATGTTGTGAATTTGTAATGTACCGATAGAACCGAGTCAGAGACAAACCAAAGCAGTGCAACTCATTTAGTAAATATTAAATAATATTAGGTATACTGCCCTCATACTAAAATCCACTCGAATTTATTCCATTTGACAAGGACTTGTATCCAAATTTATCATCAATCCAACTGCCTGAGGATGCAGACATTTACACTTTGAAAAAAAAAAAAAAAAAAAAAAAAAAGGACACTTGCACTAGTCTAAGGATTTTTTCCATTGGTTTCTGGACGTCCAAATTGATCATCAATCCAAATGCCTGAGGATGCAGACACATTTACATTTTGAGAAAGAAAAAACAAAAGAAAAAAGGGTCACTTGCACTAGCCTAAGGATGTTTTCCATTGGTTTCTGGGCGTAATTACAGTCAGATACATCCAGGACGGCATGTAACTGCAATCAGGGATACATCTCCGCAATTCCTGTGTGTGAATACGACTTCAGATGTGGAGCGCAGGTGTCGCTCCCCACCAATAGACACCTGGTGGGGTACTACCTGGGCCAGCTGCTCCTGTCACCCCTGGCAGCACCACCAGCAGGAGTTAAAAACAAAAAAACAAAACAAAAAAAAAAAAACAAAAAAAAAGGGGGAAAAGGGGGGGAGGGGGGGGGGAAGGAACTGTGGCTGTGACGCACTTTTAGTTTGAAATAGGCAAGAAAAGACAAACTTGGCTATTCTGAAAGTTGGGTGCGACTCCAAGTTCAACGTACTTGGCCCCCGCCAAAAAACGAAACAGATACGTGGAGCAGTGGAGCAAGGTAGAGGACTGAACAATTTTCTCTAAACAAAAGTTAACAGTCCGCACACAAGGAGTTTTCCTACTGGTTTCTGGACATATTTACGGCAAGATACATCCTAGTCGGGCTGTAATTACAACCAGATACATCAAGATTCTAGAACTGTGTCCTAGCAGTGTGACTATGCCCTCAGATGTGGAGCAGTCCAGCAAGGCAGAGGCAACATGAAACTCTGCGGTCACAACACATAGGACCTTGTCAGTGTTGTCACACCACTCTCGAAAATTAATGTGAAAAAGACAAAAATGTGGCCGGTGCATCTGGCCATGTTCTAGCCGGAAGTTCATTCTCATTTAAATTTGCACATTTTGAGAGTCACTGTGATGTTGCGACATCCATAATATAGTACAACCTGCAGATAAACAACTGCATGAACGGCCATTTCGTCAAAACGGACATATTATAATTTTTGAACGAAATTAAAATTGAGTTTTTTTGGCCAAAATCCGGTCCAAATTTTTGGCTCCCGAGGGTCCGGCGTACGCCGACGCCACTAGATGTATCCGGTCTCAGCTTGAGACCAGATACATCTAGCCAGGAGCCAAAACTTTGGACCGGATTTCGGCCAAAAAACTCAATTTTAATTTCATTCGAAAAATATAATACGTCTGTTTTGACAAAATGGCGGTTCATGCAACTTACATGTCCGAGGCCAAGGTCTGACCAGAAACGACGAATGAATGAAGCGGCTGTGTAATAAGCAGAGATGAAGAAAAGCAGATCAATCGCATTTTCCTGTACCTCTCCACAAACACGTCCAGGTTCAGGCATTCGATCCAATCCTCTTTCAAATTGCCAGTTTAACCTTGACCCTGGAGATGTGCAGCTGCATGGAAACAACCAGCGGGTGCCGCATCTTCATGCTCGGACGCAAAACAAAATGTGACGTCAGCAGAACACACTGAGTAACTGAGTTTCGCATCCACATCCTGGACGGGCCTCTGCTGACTTTTTTTTTTTTTTTTTTTTTTTTTTTTCCCTGCGTTTTCCAAATTAGAGACTTATGGGATCACATAGGGGGGATTGGAAATCGGACTTGGACCTGAGATTATAATTTAATTTAGGTCGTGTGTGATATCTACCTAGCAAGAGAAAATGTCTGCCTACCTAGGCTACCAGAGTGGCACGGGGTCACTTGCCCGGCCGGGCCAAAAAAAAATAAGAAATATATATATTTATTTTTTATTTTTTATTCTACATTTGGTGAAGAATTTCGATGTGACCCTGAGGCAAAAGTTATTCAGTTTATTTTTCTGCATAACAAAGTTTTTTTTCGGATTTTTTGGATATTTTTGTTTTTTGCAGTATCTGCCTCCCTGGTCCTTGCACGGGCTGGCCACCCGGGACCCGGGCGGCCCGGCTGGTAGCCTAGCTGCCTACTGGGGAAAAAAAAAACGGTGTAAGGTCATTGGAAAGCAATTATCTGACGATTGACGCTATCTCAAGTCATTGGAAAGCAATTATCGCCCGGCTGGAAGTCCGACGATTGACGCTATCTCAAGTCATTGGAAAGCAATTATCGCCCCAAGCGGCATTGACCCACCGGGGAATGGTTCTCCGCTGGCAGTACCTTCCCGTCCCCGAAACAGATCTGAAAGCTCATGACAATCGAATCGAACGGTGTAAGGTCATTCCAATGCTGCTCAGTACAAGGATCAGGAAGTCTTTGAGTTAGAGGAGGACAACTCCTCCCCCCACACACACCCAAACACCCCCCACCCCCCCCCCCCCCCCCCCCCCCCCCCCCCCCCCCCACCACCACCACCACCAGTGGGCGCTTTTTTACAGCAAGTCCGCGTCATTGAGACGGCTCAAGATGAGGAGCAACCATTCTATCAGCTTTTCAGTGAAGGTCTCCCAATAATTAATGTTCCCGAAACTTCGCCAGCGGACCAGCGCTAGTATGGGAATGGACTGTAAAAGGTTTGACCATTCCGTCAGCTTTTCAGTAAAGGGGTCTCCCAATAATGTGGCTGAAACTTGGCACAGGGGACCAGCGCTACCCTCTTCACCGGAATAGAACGCCCGGTCATTATAGCTGTATTTGGCACAACTTTCAGCCCAGATACGGCGATAATTACCGGGTGTTCTATTCGGGTGAAGACGGTAGTATGGGAATGGATTGTAAAAGGTTTGACCATTCTGTCAGCTTTTCAGTAAAGGGGTCTCCCAATAATTTGCCTGAATCTTGACCCAGGGGTTCAGCGCTATGGGAATGGACTGTAAAAGTCCCCGAGGGTCAAACGCCACACTATCAGAATAATCTTTCAAACTGGGATACACCATTAACCAGCCATTGAAGCATCCGCAGGTCACCGCAGGAGCTCGATGAGCACAACTCTTACCATTGGATATGTCAGATATTGATACTGCACTCACCTCGACGTGCTGGGAACAACTGAGACTGATCGCTACTCAGAGGCATGCTTCGTTTGCTATGGTCAGTTACGATGGTCTCTACACCATCGGGCCTCGGCCGTATGGTTACCCGAACATGGTCTAGATTCACGTTTTTTTTTTTTTTTTTTTTTTTTTTACTCAATTCGTTGTTCGAATATATTCCAATTTCCAACTCAGAACTTTGTTCCAGTGTGACCGAGACCAGCAATGAACCGAAAAAGCAGAATTCCCTCTGCACCCACTCGCGGCGATTCACGTTTTTTTGTTTTTTACTACAACCTTGCTGTCACGACGCGCGTACAGGTGTGTGACGAGCTGTCACAACGCGTGTGTGTGACGAGCTGTCACAACGCGTGCACAGATGTGTGCGACGAATGAATAAGGTTCTGGCTACCTGAATCTTTCTTACGTGGAGTTAGATCTGACATGCCAACGATGTCAATGGGCCTTTGAATCAACGGTGCGCATTTATTGTGGGATTGTTCGGCATCACGCCGGATCTGGAGCTGGGGGATCAAACACTGGAGGCCGATCTCTGCCTGCCTCTCGGTATTCGAGTGGGGAAATTGGGTGGAGGCTACAGGCAGAAGGTCTGCCGGAAGGGGGTCTCTCGAAATCGAGGGATGGGGCTATGAAGCCCAATCGGCTTGGTCAGTCTGCTTCACCGTAATTTGGCAATGTCGTAATTCGCAGCACATTCACTCTTTTGCTGAGACAAATCGTCAAATTCGCGGTACATTCACTCTCGAAATCAAAGGTACTTGAACCCACGGAGTGGAGAATCGTCAACGTCAAATGCGCAGTACATTCACTATTTTGCTGAGACAAGCGATTTGGGCGCACTGGCGTCGAAAAGTCAAACAACAAAAAGATGTCCCAAGGAGGTCTCCGTTGGTCCCAAGAAACATTGGCTCTTTTTTTTTCTTTTTATTTATTTATTTGTTTTTATTATTATTTTGTTTTAAACATGGTCTCTTCGAAGCTCGTTGGTTCGGGTGGACGGATCTCGGCTTGTATTTGACTCCTGGTTGCTCCAGAGTCGAATAGCTACCGTCTTCCCCGAACATAACGCACCCTAAAAATGAATGTATACAAGCTAGAGATACAGCCAGAATGCGCGTGCGTTGTGTTCGGGAGAAGCCGGTAGTTTCTTAGGCTGTTTCTTGATTTTCGTGCCTCCGTGACGGTGCAAGCTGTAGCGCTCGGCTGCTTGGCAAACAGGCGGGTCACAGTAGACAGTGCTTTTAAAAAAAGACAGTGCCCTAATCTGGAACTTGTATCATTGTGTTTTGTTCCCTTTTTCTTTTTCCGCGTTGGGCACTGGGCAGTGGGCCCTAATAAAAAGACAGTGCCATCTATATTGGCTATCTAACAATCCAACAGTTTATGCGTGCGATCCTTGCGGAGGGCCCATGCTAATC